ATATAGAATTGCTATGTCAATGTTATTTCTTAGCACATTTAACGTGTGAACTTGAACCTCATATTATGATTGACAATTACGAAAATGATTATTCATATGATCATTTTATTGGTTATTGGATTGACCGGCGTCGACTATTCATCGGCCGGCCAAGTATACACAGTTAATCAATAAAACTTGACAGGTTTCACGATAAATGAAATAATTTGTGATTTCTATTGCATACAAAATATAGATTGAACTTTTATACCTATTTGTCTCTGTCATGGAATTGTTAGATTTTCCAACAAATTGAAGATGAGAAAGATTCACAACACACAATAAAACGTCAAAAGTACATATGAGCGAAAAAAAGATAGGTCGAAAACCCTATGATACTGATTGCTTTATAAAGCCATCGAAAGATGGCAGCTCATACAATTTACAAATTATTGAATATCTGATAATTTATAACACATATAATACATAATTAGAATAGTCTTTAAACTTTATTTGCTATTTTACATTATGTTTTATTTTTTAATTATTTAAAAAAAATATTTTTTCACTCAAATAATTTTAAATTTTTACAGTACAGTAAAAATGTACAATATACAGTAATTTTTTATAGTGTATATAATATATCTTTCAAATAATCCAACAATAATATAAGATCATAAAATTAATTTAATAAAAAATTAAAATATCTCTATTATTAAAATATCTCTATTAAATCTTAATGACATTAAAATTGTTATTGCAATATCAATCGTACTATTAATGAATATAATAATTTACGCTAATATCTGTCAACAATTTATATATGCATTTTACATTTTACGTGATATAAAAATTATTTAGTATAACCAAACATAAATATAATCTATTGTTGCGATATTATATATTATATTTACTTGACTTCTAATTGAATGTCACGTTCATGTAAAATTATTGATTTATATCTATATTATATTTATATTTATAATAGATGATATCATTTAATAGTATTGAAAGAAATGGATGATTACATTTGAATAGACTTGTTTGATATTTTAAATAATAAACATGTAAAAAAAAAATTGATCTCAAATAAAAGGATAATAAATATTTTTTACTTTTAATGACATATTACAACATATATTTAATGTTAATAATAATAATAATAAAGATAATGATAATGATAATAATAATTATAATAATGATAATGATAATGATAATGATGATGATGATGATAACAACAACAACAACAACAACAATAACAATAATAACAACATTAACAATAACAACAACAACAACAACAACAACAATAACAATAACAATAGCAATAGCAATAGCAATAGCAATAGCAATAATAATAACAATAATAATAGCAATAGCAATAGCAATAGCAATAACAATAACAATAACAATAACAATATTGATTTTTGTATCATTTAACTAATATTTATTTTACCTTTAGATTTTATAATATATGTATAAATTCTGTATATAGAACAAAAAATTTTTAATATTAAATCACACATAATTTCATTTGTTCTATATTTATTTAAAAATATATAATATATTTGTGTACTTATAATATATATGTATTATAATTCGTAAATTATACATAATAAAATACGAATATGTTAATATACATGTCTCTATATTGAAATTGATACACATCTGTATTATAATCCATATATTTCGATATTCATGAAAGTATCTATGTATTTTAATACTTGTGTATTTTCAAAAATATTAACATTAATATATTAAGTATATGTGCAGAATATATTTAATATATTTTCAATATACGTTGAGAATAATGATTTATGTTATATTTTTATTATTTTTTTTTAAATTATTTTTAAAAATTATTTTATTAATAAATAGTATATAGAATATACGCAAAAGAATTTATTATCAGTATCGAAATGTTTTAGTCAAATATTTTAATTAGCATTGATAAAAATCTTTACTTTTATTATGGATATAAATACGAAGTCTAACATCATTACATAAAATTATATTGATATCACTATAAATATAATCTTCTTCACTATAAAATATACGTCTTCTTTTTTTCATAGATTAGCGTATTTAATTTTTTTCTATTTTTTTTTTTTATTCTCATATCAATTTATAAATGTAATTTTCGCACTGATATATATATAATGCTTTAACGTAGAACTAGCTCTTTACTCGAAATGATTGGCATTGACTGGTAACGCGTCATCTCTCATATTAATAGTACATACTCTAAATGGGACCACACAGTCGAGTTATGCGATAACAATTGTAACGAGTGTTATAAAAAGAATCAACTTGATATATGCTTTTGTTTATAAATATAATTTATATAATTATATACAATATAATTTATATAATTTATGTACAATATAAATATATAAATAATAAAATATAGTATATAAAATATAATATTTACTATATATAACAAATAGAAAGTGATTTTTCATATAAAAATAAAAGAATAAGATTTTTTGTTCTAGACTTTATTTTGAAAATTTAAAAACTTGTTAAATATAGGAAAATAATTTGCGACTAAAAATTAGAAAATTAATCTATATGCAAAAAAAAAAAAATAAATAAATAAAAAATGATAAAAATAAATAAAATAAAATTTTCTTGTTTAAATTCTTGTTTTTAATAAAATTGAAATCAAATAGAATAGTGAAATATTTGTATACAAATTTTCAAATTTAATTTCCTGAATTTTGAAATATATTTATTATATATTTTTCATTTATTTTTGATTATAGATTTGTCTTTTATTTAAATTTTATTTATTTACTTGTATTCAGAATTAATTAATTTTTTTGTATTTAACTAATTTTTAAATTCGATTTTTTAAAAGAAATGAAAAAATGAAAAAATGTTATTTCTTTCTTCTGATTTATTTTTATATATAAAACTATTTTTGTCTATTGATATTTATCATTTATCAATCATAATTTATAAATAATAATTATATATTAATAATATATAAATAAAAAAAAATAATTAAAAACATATTAACCATGAGGATTAAAATTATACGATTATTTTCAAACGCAATAAAATTTTTTAAAATAAAATACGATTTCTTATTTAAGTCATAATATTTAAATATTTTTCTAGAAAAATGATATAATATACAATATATATAATACATACATATATATGTAAATATAAAATGAAATAAAAAATAATCTAAATATAATAAAAAAATAATCTAAAAAAATGCTTACTTAAATTTTTCATCCAACGAAATTAAAATTGTCCCACGATCAATAATTATGCACAAAGGAATAATCATACACATAAAACTATATTATTTGTATAAACATAAAAAAGTACAAATATAAAAAATTTCACAAATATAATTAATCATTTAATTACATTTAACACAAGAACAAGTTTAAATTTTTGACTAATTATATTTACTAATGATGTACTAACAATATATTAGTATATATATATAATAACAATATATTAGTGTATATTATCGATCAAGGAATATATTCGAGTGTATCGTTATTCACAGACTATAAATATTCGATTTTCCATAAAATTTTAAAAAATATCAAGGGTAAAAAATTTCGTTTATTCCATGAAACAGAATCCTTCATGTTTTGCAAAAGAAAGTTTCGTCTGTTTAAATCACGGTCCGTACCGTTTGAATATTCGTATGAGCTTAACTCACAATAAAATGAAGCTTCATAATTTCCAGGTCGTATATACCTATCTATAGTGAGTATGAACCAGATGCCATCAAGGACATGTTGAACATATTTGTAATTTCATATTCACATATTTGTAATTTCATTATTCTTCATTGAAACGAAAGTATATTTTTAACATATATGCTGTATTTTATTACTATAAAAAAATACGAAATTGTTAATATAAATTTTGGAAAAAATGTTTTTCATTATGAATATCGATAAATTAATAAAGCGATTCTATTTGTTTAGTTCGGAAAAATAATTTATGATATTCATAAAGTCTATACACGAAAACTTCCAATTTCAAATACGATCTAAGTTTAAACGATGTATTGATTAAATTTTCTACTTAATTGTTTTTTACTTGAAGTTATTAGTAAAATATTATATTATTTTATTAGATGAATTTATTCTTTAATTTCAATTATGATGTTTTTAATATGAATAAGTACTCTATTATATAATGAATATAAAAAAATTCATTATTTTAATAACAAATTTAAGTGCAATAATTTTATAATTATTTTATATAATAACAGATTTACAATAAATTATTATAAAATAAATATATATACTGCATGCTATATGAATATTTTATATATACATATATAGTTCTAAATATATTGTTATTTATAAACTCAAAAAACAACTAAAAATGTTTTAATAATAATAATAACAATAACATCAAAAACTTTAAATTTTTGATCCGACGAAATTAAAATTGTCCTACGATCAATAATTATGCACAAAGAAATAATCATATACATAAAACTATATTATTTCAAACATAAAAAAGTAGGAATATAAAAAATTTCACAAAAATGTCTTTATGATATTAATCATGATATAATAATATATTATCATGTTATATCTTACATATTATGTACTATTGAAAAATTCTTTCACACATCGATGTAGAAAATTCCCTTATGTTTCTATTATGCGTTATTACCAATAAGTATATGTACGATATATTTATCTAAATGTGAAATTTTCTATATACAATTTACAAATATACAATTTTTATAATTGTTCTGTCTATGTATTATATTATATATATATATATATATATATATATATATATAAATAGTCAATTAGATTTATATTTCTTTTAAAGAATTTTCATTAAGTAACATATATAATCTGTTTTATTATATTATAAATAAATATAGAAAATTTGAATTAAGAGTTGTGGAAATAGCGATCTCTATCGAAGATGAACGAAATAGTTTCGGACAATCTATCGATTCTTTCCGAAGATTTCCGGAAATAACCGAAATCGTGAAAGTGACGTATATACGTCAGTGTGGGCCGACCCGCGTATCGTCGGTATTATCATTTAAGAGATTTTTTATGATTTCTCGTAAAAGGATTATTTAAAGGATAACGATATGCAACTATGAATTTCTTTTAATAATTTTTTAAAAAACTACTTGCAAATAAAAAAAGCGATTCACTGTCGTATGTTTATGTAACTGATGTAAAAAAAAATCTAGTTCTTATACGTGTGCGTTAGAGTGTCGATCAATTTTACTCGACGAACTTGTTCTTATTCAGTTAATTAGGTTTATCCGTGAGTAAATTGACATTAAATTAATACCGTTTTGACATTTCTTCTTTTGAGAGATATATATTGACTTATCGTTATGTTTGATTGTCGTAACATAACCTTGAAATTACAAATAGTTCCCTTAATTTTTTTAGAAAATTTCCGTGAAAATTACAATTTTTGTTATTGTAGATTTGATTCGATAGTCACCTACGGGTGAATAAAAATGGCCACCCCTCAAACTCCGAGTAAGTCAATTTTTTTTCTGTATGCAATTTTGACAAACATATTCTTATTTATTAGATTGACAGTAACTGTTTACAAGAAAAAAATATAAGTTGTTATTAATTTTCGATTTTATGAATTTTGTAATTTAAATAATTAATTATTTCATAAATACTATTATTTTCATTCAGAAAAAAATATTTTTTTGAATATTTTGAATATAGAATAAAAATTCTTTTAGGTATGGACCCTTGGACAATCCAACCTAGAGAACGTGCAAGATATAGAGAGCAATTTGATTCTCTAAAACCAATCAATGGTATTGTTACTGGAGAGCAAGCAAAAGAATTTTTGCTTAAATCTCAGCTTCCACCTGTCATTCTTGGACAAATATGGTATTAATATTTTTTGTTGTAATATTTAATATCATAAATTTTTAATATCATAAAATATTATCATGTATATAATGTAAGAATATTATATAGGGCTTTATCAGATACAGATTCAGATGGAAAAATGGATATAAATGAATTTAGTATTGCATGTAAATTAATTAATTTGAAATTACGAGGCTTTGAAATTCCTAAGACTTTGCCGTCAACTTTAATACAAAGTATAAAGTCATTTTCGGCCAGTAAGTATAAAAATTAGTAAATAATTAAAAATATTTCAATTAATAATTATGATTTTTATTTTTTAATGTTTAGATGATACTAATATTACAAATTTAACAAATGGAGCTGTTAATATTCCATCACAGAATAATGTAGCTTCATTAGTAAATTTATCTGGTCCATCACAAGTTCCAGTACAGCCTTTGATTGGTGGAATGTCTATAGGATCTGTTCCTCGTCCTCTTATAGCACCTTCATCTACGAATGGACCATTACCAGGACATACTATTAGACCTGTTTCACCAATGACTTTACCAGGTAATTATATTTAGAATTTTATGTCTAATATTAATAAATAAATAGTCATGATATGATAATCATATATATGATAAAAGAAATTTGATGAAAGAAATATGACAAAAAAATTTTCATAAGATTCATAAAAATCCTTACGTTAATGTTAAATATTTTATTTCACAACAAATATAATCATGTCTTATTTGATTTTACAATTATATTATAATAATAAAGTTATATAACTTATATAAAACAATAAAGTTTTTATAAAGTTTATTTTAACTATAATTCTTATGATTATTATAATAAAAAAAACATTTTAATAACATTATAATAAATGCACAGCAATATTTAGCATTATTTTACTTATGCATCATACTACACAGCATCACGACAAAGTAAACAGAATGTGGCTGCCACTACACATGCCACAACTTACACAGGGTCAAAGCCACCTGCTCGACCTGCACCACCCTCTGTGGGTATGTTAAAGAAGTGGATGTTTATATTTGAATTTTGTTCTATTTCATACTATTTTTAAAATTTATTAATTTTTTAAGACAATTTTTTTCTTTTATTGAATGACATGATCAGTTATATAATATGATATGCTGTGCTACATACATTGAATTAATTATTGCATGAAAGATATATTTTTATATATCCTAAAATAATTGTTTATATTGTATTATATTCAATTATCAATATTATGATGTATTTTATGTATCCTATAAGACATGAATATTTATTAAAATAAGACATACTAGATTCTATAATGTAAAAAATACATACTTTTTATTTTAACATATAAATATAACATATACAATATCATTAAAATGATATTATATTATATTTTATGTTATTTATTATAAAAAATCAATATATATATTGAAGAATATATTTCTATGCTTTTTTTCTATGTCTACATTTTTATTTAATTATTATACACACGCACGCGCGCGCGTGTATATATATAATTTGATCTTATATATTATATATATATATATATATATATATATATATACACATATAATAGCTTTGTTTATTAATTATATATACACTACTATTTTTCATACTCTACTATTTTCCATTTACATATATTTCCATGCACACTTATACAATAATATAAATATTTGTGCTGCAAAAAAAAGGAATCGTGCCTTCCACAAGTACTACCACTACTACTACTATTACCACTACTTCTGGTGGTGGTCCTCCTCAAAGACCTGCACCACCCACAAATATCGGTATGTTTCAAAATATAAATGAAATTTCAGAATTAGATTTATTTTGGAAGAATGAATAAGATTGCATGTAAATTTAAGTAGTTTCCAATATATTTAAATTTTAATATAAAAGAAATGATTCCTTTTTATATACATTATTGCCAACAGACATCTTCGAAATACATTACAATAAAACTTCAAATTATGTTAAATACATATATTTTTATTTGAAATGTTTAGTTATAAGTTAATTTTATCTTTATTGCTAAGCTTTTCAATTGTAACTATAATTTGTTTTATTTCTTAATTTTGGCTTTGATCTTATATATTATATTTTTATTTTATATATTCTTATTTAAAAAATTATTAAAAAATTTTTAATAATTTTTTTTTTTATAAGTGGAATTATATATTTTTAGGAGCAAATTTCTCACCTGTTATCAGTGGTCTACCAGCAAAACCTGCTGCATCTTCGTTTCCTAATAGCCCTGTTGCTGCTGGAATTTCACCAGTAAAAGTTCCATCTGTTTCTGGAACAACCGTAGTTCCTTCAGGTCAATCTGTACAACCAATGAATGCATCTGCTATAGGTAAAACTACATATATGTTCTTTTTATATATGTATTATTTATTCATTATTTTTTTGATATTTATTTAGACTTTAACTTTCCATTATAGATATATTTAAATTAAAATGTCGATTAATTTGTCAATGAAGATTTATTCTTTTTTTTTTTTTTTTTTTACAGATTTACTCGATCTTGAGTTTTCAGGTATATTTTATTGAATAAATTTTGTAGAAAATATAATTTTATTATATTTCTTTAATTTATAATAAATTATGAATTAAATATTTTTAATGATATTCTTAAATTTTAATTTTGTTATAATTCTTTTAAGTTCTCTTAAAGTTTTAATTTAAAAAATATTTTTACAATTATTTTATTTTTTTATAGTATTAATCAATATGTGTATTATATTAACTAATCATTAATAATTAAATTATTTTTCATTGAATAATATTTTTAATATCATTCATGTATATATAAGAGAGCATATTTTATTTAAATGTTTACATAATATATTTGGAACAGGTATACCTACAGTAGCACCAATTGCACCTTTAAATACAAATCCAACGCCAATTGCTGCTTTTGGTATGGGACAAACAATGCCTATACAATCATTATGTACTGCTATGGTTGTTTCAGTAACAGGTGGTTCTATAGTACCATCAATTGCACCAATATCTAGTGGTATGTATAATTTAAATTTTTAATTGTAAAATATTCTATTTTATTATAATTATTACACATTTTTTAAGGAACTGGTGTAGTATCCACTCCCCCAGTTGTAGGTTTACCTCTAGTATCTGCAACCACAACAAATGGTACATTAGTAAATGGTGTAATTGCTCAAACACCAGTATCTACAAGTACACCATTAAGTACAATTGCACGTCCACCAAGTATAGATAGAGTTGGCTCAGTTGATTCACAACATAGTCAACATTCAGTAGGTTCCCCACAATCTGTAGAATGGGCAGTACCTCATCAAACAAAATTAAAGTATACTCAGTTGTTTAATACTTGGGATAGGACACGATCTGGATTTCTCTCAGGTCCTCAAGCTAGAAATATTATGGTGCAGTCACAATTACCCCAACAAATGTTGGCACAAATATGGTATAATAATCTAATAGCAGATATAAAATTATTAAAAGATTTTTAAAATTTCTAATATATATATGTTTAGGGCATTAGCGGATATGGATTCAGATGGTCGTTTGAGTTGTGATGAATTTGTATTAGCAATGCATTTATGTGATATAGCTAAAATTGGTGAAAAAATACCTAATACACTACCAATTGAACTTATTCCACCTGCATTCAGGCGTCAACGACAAAGTAGCTTAACACTTTCACAAAGTGGTACAGAAAATGTAGATCCGTCAGCAGGTATGCCACAGGTAATTTCACGTTTTCTCTTATATTTAAATAAATATGTTAATACTATAAATATGTTGATACTATAATATTATAATACGCATATTACATATTATTTATTAATTATTTTTCTTAAAGACTTCTTTTGAAGATAAGCGAAAAGAAAACTTTGAAAAAGGACAAGCGGAACTAGAGCGGAGACGTAAAGCTTTATTAGAAATTCAGCGTAAAGAACAAGAAGAACGCGAACGGAAAGAAAGAGAAGAAGCTGAAAAACAAGAAAAAATTAGGTAAGTAAATGTTTGTTGAAGATTATATAAATAAAAGTTTATATAAATTTTATTAATCTATTACTTTAACTTAAAACAAATATTATACAGATTAGAGCAAGAAAGACGAAGACAAGCAGAAATTGAGAAACAAATGCAAAGACAAAAAGAAATTGAGCAAGAAAAAGAAGAACAACGAAAACGAGCTCAAGAACAAAGAGAAGCAGCGCGAAAGTACATAAGCGAAATTTTTCTATATAAATTTGAATCATTAAAAATATCTTGTAATATTAATTAATTTTTTTAATAGAGAAATGGAGAGACAACGACAATTAGAATGGGAAAAACAGAAATCTCAAGAACTTCAAGCTCAGAGACAAAAAGAACAAGATGTATTACTTAAATTAAAAGCAAAAAATCAAACATTAACTATTGAGTTAGGAACACTTGTAAGTATTAAAGAAATAACTAATATTTAAAAAAAATAATTAATATTTATATAATTTTTTTTTATGATTAAGAATGATAAAGTGAAGGAACTATCGCAAAAAATTTGTGATACTCGAGTAGGTGTATCTGGTGTGAAATCAACTATTGATGGAATGCGATCAACACGTGATGCACAATTACAAGAAATGGCTGCTTTAAAAAATAAACTCCGAGAACAAAATCAAAGATTATTAGCTTTGAGCCAAGAAAAAGCTCGGATTGAAGCAAAGAACAAATTAAATACAGCTATAGAATCAGCAGGTCAAGAAGCTATCAAAATGGCTTTTGATAACAAACAAATTACTTTAAAACAAATGAAAGATAAAATTGCTGATTTACAGCAACAGGTATAATAATTGTATCAATATATATATTATATATTATATACAATAAAAATATTATAATTTTTGTATATGAAATTAATATTTATAGATTGATGCTAAAATGGCTGATATAGAAAATAATAATGGCCAGCTCCAAGATATTAAAACACAATTGGAAACTTTAATAACTGATTGTAAGAATCTTTATGTAACTTTCGAAGACAAAAAATTAAAAGTTTTAGAACTCAGAGCAAGTAGTGATAGCGGTGCTGGTACTGATTATACAACTTCTGCATGGGGTGATAGTGCTTGGAATGATACTTCAGCAACAATTAATGATTCTGCTTGGCCTGTTAATGATACGACTACAACTAATACAGTGGAAGAAACTACTCCAGGAGTTATGAAATATAGAGCTTTATATGAATTTGTAGCTAGAAATCAAGATGAAATATCTTTTCAACCTGGTGATATTATTTTGGTATTATTATTACATAAATATATCCATACATTAAAACAGAAATAAGAAGAATGAAATAAAAATTAAATTATTTTTTTAATACATAATATATAGGTACCACCCGTTCAAAACGCAGAACCAGGATGGATGGCAGGTGAAATTCGTGGTCATACTGGTTGGTTCCCTGAATCTTATGTAGAACCAATAGATACTGGAACCACAAATGATAATGCTTTCGTACAACAAGATAGTATGGAGAAGAGAACATTAGAGTTAGTTAATTAAACTAAAATCGCGTTTTATTTAAAAAAAAGAAACTTATAATTCATTATTATTTTTATTTTATTATAATTATTATTAGAGGAATTGCTGAAGTCCCTGAAAACGTATCTGACGCGGGATCACTTGATGAACCTCCTTCTGTCGAACCTCTTATACCTACTTTGGGATTAGGCACAATATGTGATATACAAGTAACAACTTTATATTATTATCATCCTACAATGGATCAACATCTTCCTTTTGAGAAGGGAGATATCATTAAAGTTGATGAACAGCAAGTTAGTATAAATATATATATATATATAAATAGTATATAATTACAATTAACAATATAATTAATTTATATATTAAATATAATATATATATATATAAATTATAAAAATATATTATTATATTTAATTATATTAATATATTTAAATATATTATTATATAAATATATATTTATAAAAATTATAAATATATATATAAATTATAAAAATAATATTATATATATATAATAAAACTTTCTTTTTAATATCTTAGGGTGATTGGTGGCATGGCATATCCAATAACGGAGTTAAAGGATGGTTCCCAAAATCTTATGTGAAAGAAATTGCTGTTAATCAAAACACAGCAATAGTTGATGATCTTAATGAATATTACGTAGCGTTATATCCATATGTTTCTACGGAAACTGGAGATTTAACTTTTAATCAAGGAGAAGTTATATTAGTTACTAAGAAGGAAGGTGATTGGTGGACAGGCAGTATAGGAGATAGAAATGGAATTTTTCCTGCCAATTATGTAGAAAAATGCGATATTCCAGACCAAGTAAAATATAGATTTCTTTTTTTTAATTTATTAAGTAAAATTTGAATAATTTGAATTCCAGTATAGAAAGTAATATGACTTAATATAATATAATATTATTAATATTAACTTATAATATAATAAAACATATAAATATATAATACAAATGTTTTGAAATTTTATATATTTTTTATAACATTCAGGGTGCCTCTGTAATTACTAATGTATCTGAAACAACTACAATTACGACAACAATTGGGGATACAATCACAAATAATTATGAAATAAGTACTTCGGTCAACCAAACAATATTGGTTCGTAATGTTTTGATTTTAATACTTCTACTTCACAGCTATTTCGAAAATATATTTTCTGTTTATTATAAAAAATTGTTATTTAAAAATTATATTTTAAAAAGCTTAATAGATTTAAATATTAATGATTATTTTATAGATATATTAAAGCTAGATGTATATATATGTCCTGTATTTAGCAAACAGAGGAAACCTCTGAGCAGCTCGAAGATGAAAGAGCAGCTGCAGAAGATAGAGCAGAATTGCCAGATTTTACTGCAATGGCTGCACAACAGGTAATTTAAAATTAATATATATATATAATTTAATAGTATTATATTAATATTTAATGAGATTTAATTGTTCCTTTTTTATTGCTGATGTCCTGTTATCGCAGTATTATAAGGTACTTTATTTATTAAAAAAATGTATCTGCTAAATATGTTAATATATAGTTTAATATCTATGTTATAGTTTTGTAAATAAAATATTAATTATATATATTAGATATTAAATAATTTTTAATTATTTATAAAATATATTATATATATATATATATAATAGTAAAAATTTATTTTTGTTCTTCTTTTAATAGAGAGGAAGAAAACCTGAAATTGTACAAGTCATTGCACCTTATGAAGCTACTAGTTCTGAACAATTAAATTTACAAAAAGGACAATTAATAATGATCCGTAAAAAGACAGATAGTGGTTGGTGGGAAGGAGAATTACAAGTATGTTAATTTATTCTTTATTATGGATATGTGTATATTCATTATAATAAAATAATTAATTTTTCAATAATTATAGTATTTTTATTTTGTTTAGGCACGTGGTAAAAAAAGACAAATTGGTTGGTTCCCAGCATCTTATGTTAAACCTTTAACTAGTAGTAGTAATCGAAGTACACCTGTTTCTCATGGATATCAAGACTCTCCTACAGATCCAAATGTTGGTAAGTATTTTTTATTTTTGATATTATTTACATTAAATATAATAAAAAATATAATAATTCATTTTATATATAGAGCGCGTTATGGCATTATATCCGTATCAAGCACAAAATGAAGATGAATTAAGTTTCGAAAAAGGTGATGTTATTACCGTACTTGCAAAAGACGAAGCAGCATGGTGGAAAGGCGAATTAAACGGAATGTCTGGTGTTTTTCCCAGTAATTATGTATCTTCTATGTGTAAGTAAATTTTTTTATTTTAAAAATTTTATTTTAGAGAATTTAAAATATTTGTCTATCATAAGTTTTTATAAAAAAATAATTTTGAAACAATTTTATAACATATTAACATAATAAAATTTATGTAAAATAATAAACATAATTATTAATTATATATTAATTTTAATTGCACGGATAGACGGACGACCGTCAGGTTTAGATTTTTCCTATTATTATAAAATATAAATCGATTTAACAAAAATATAAAATTTTTAAAAATTTAATAAGGCAATTTATAATTTAATACGACGGTCGTTTAATAGGACCAGATAAAATAGTTTTTCAAATATTGCTTTATCAATCAAATGTATTTAATATGTATATTTTAATATTATATAATTTTTTGTTTATTATAAAAATGTATTTTTAGTTAAGATTTTGATAAAATTTATTTTTAGATAAATATAGATTTTATCATAAATATATGTTATATTTATTTAAATAATATTTATATTCAAAATAATAAATTATATGTTTGAGTATAACATTCATTTGAAATTAGCTAAAAATTATAAACATAAATAGGATAGTTATCAAATATTTCGATATACTTCCTTGTTAAGATATAAATATTATTTGATTTTCATCGTTCATGATTTAGAACTAAATGTTAATTAATAATAAAATTATATGAAAATATTTCTTTAATTATAATTCACAAACTATGTTATGTCTGCTTTCTGCTCTGATATGTCTGCATTAAAATTTAATACTTTAGCTTGAAAAGCGGTACATTTATATTATAATCGTTATATTATAATCGTTTTATTTCTGGTCTATTTAACGTTAATTTCTTGCGGAATCAATTGAGAAACATATTTTCTCTATTATATAGCCTGCCTGTCTGCCTGCATGCCTGCCTGTCCGTCTGTCCGTCCGTCCGTCCGTCTGTCCGTTTGAGGTAGCTACTTCGTTTCAATAGTAAAATATTGATAAAATATTATTATAAAATATATATATATAATAATATATATAATTATATATATAAATTATATATTATTATATATTATATATATTAAGATTTTATATATTATTATAACGTTATTTAATATTATATATTTTTCAATATATAGTTTAATTTGTTTCTTATTTTAGATTAAAAATATTATAAAATTAATTATAATAAAAAATTTAAATGTACATTAAAGAAAAATATTTCATTTAATAAATACATATAAAGACTTATAAATATAATGATTATAATAATCAAAAATAATATCAATAATATATTAATCATAAATAAATAATCGTTATTTATTTATATAATTTTTATTAAACGTATAATTATTTTATTTTATTATTTTAAATGTATTATAATTTTATAAACTGTGAAAATTTAATACTGAAAATAGTATATATATAAAACGAAATAGTTACTTCAAGCAATTTGAATTTGAAATGATTATGATAAATGCATTTGCCTACAATATTTCGAAAGAATTCTTTTACTAATTATTATCTTTCGCCTTGCTTAACGTGCAGCATAAAGGATAGCAGAGCAGCACCGCAGCATTGCAGGCTAAAATAAAAACGTCTCAAGTGCAATAAGAATGATAGCAGTCCCTACATTGAACAAGACAACCAACAAGTCTCATCGGTGGAGACAGTGAGCATAAAAATGAAAAGAGAAAAAGAAAAGAAAGACTCAGAGTTGATTCTTTGTTTTTATATTACTCTAAATTATGAGTCTTTTTTTTCTGGTCAGGGATCTTATTTGGTCCTTTATTTTCATTGTCATTCAAATTGTTACCATATATCTTAATGACCATTATTCTTTAAACTGTTGAATCTCTATATATGGATTACAAACGCGGAATTAATATTGCGCAGTATTTATATAATATATTCGTATAAAAAAACGCTAAATATTGAATAGCTAATTAATATGTTATTACAATCATCTGACATGTGCACCAAATTCTATCTCAAGTTTCTATTTTAATTCTGGACAGAGCTTCAAAATTATTATAAATATGATTTTTATGTTTATTTGAAATAAATTTATTAATTAATTAATATTCAGTAATTAATATTTCAAATAAAAGTATAAAATAACATATAATTGTTTAAAAAGTTTGTTTTAGAGAACAATATAATATTTTTTGTTTATATTAACACATTTAGCCCAAAAAAGAAAATAACAAAAATAATTATATTCAATGACATAATAGAATAAAAGCACTTTTTGCTAGAGCAAAGACAATAAATATTGAAATATTTATTCAACATTCATATTATTCTATATTTAAAACATTCATACTTTATCTACTTGAACAACTATTTGTAAGTAAAAATATAAAACATTATCAAATTATTCAAATTATTCAATATTGGGCTTAAAGTGTTACATTAATAAAAATTATATATATAAATTCAATTACTATTCTATATTTATACTATATCTATACTATCTAATTTTTATAATTGAAGTTTTTGAAAAAAATCTTTTAAAATATTTTAATACTGCCTGTTTTTTTTTTTTTTTATTAGCATTATATTATTTGGTGTACAATACAGATGGTTTGTACAATTATATTGCCGAGGCCTAGAACAAAAATAATGAAATAAAATGAATTATTTTCCTGCTTATCTTCTCAGTAAAAAGAAAAGGAGTTGTTAAATCATAATTTTAAATATTTCATTTTTTTTTCTGTAGATAGATAAAGATTTTATTACAATATATTTGAGTAATCTCAAAATTTTTTAAGGATTATGTAGTCTAATTTTTTTCTTAAATCTTTTTTAATTTAAAATTCTATAAATAAAAATAAAGATCAAAAAAAAATATATTTAATATTGTGCATAATATTCACAAAGAGAATGCAAATATCTCTTTTAACTTCAATAAGTTTAACCAAATTTGTTGTTCCTATTTATTTATTCTATATATATTTTATACATGTGTATATGTATGTATACATGTGTGTATGTGTATATTTATATATATATATACATACATACAATTATATATTTGTTTTCTTTTGATTTGTCTGATAACATAATAGAAGATGATATGCTCCTTCTTCATAGCCTTTTATTATAGAGCCTAACTCATTATTATTCATTATTAATAATCATAAATTAGATAATTATTATATCATTGGTGGGAATGATCTATTAAGTTAATGTTATATTGAACCAGTTTTTCCATCAATTTATCCTTGAGTAAATTAATTTATACAACTTAAGATATCTAAATATCATTATAAAAATATGTTATACATTATATTTAATTATAGATTTATTTTTTATATTTATTATTATCACATTATTGTTTTTAATTTTACGAAGTTTCATACTAAGATACTTAAATGTTATTATTTCAAAATGATACTATTTTTTATTAAAATTTTTTTATAAAATAAATTTTTTAAGTATTTCTATATTACTTTTTAGTATTTAAAATTTTATATATAAATTTTGTGAAACAATATAAAATATTTATTTTAAAAAATCATTGAATGCATTATGTTTATCCATTCCATTGGATCATTCAGGAATTTGATGGAATAACTAGTTTTGAATTATCGTAAAAGCGCACAGCAAATCAGCATATTTATATACTAATTAATCCTTTTACAGATTCTATATAACTCTTTGCAAGAAAAAGTGTATAAATATGCTTGATTGTGAAATTAAATATTGTGTGCTTAATATTAAATATTCTAGATGCGCTAATAATCTTATACTCTTTATCTAACATGTTGACAATGTGTAAAGCAAGTTATGCAACTGGATATTCTTAGATAAAAAATACTTATGTAGTATTATATTCTTAAGATTGTTACTATTTACAAAATATCAATATTGTTTGTTGTAATATCGAATCTCATTATGAATCTCAAATTGTATGCGATATATTTTGAATGAAGAGCACTGTATGAGTGTGAACAGGTTTTAATCATTCTATATCTATTACAGCTTTTGTTCACACTTCATGTGAATATATTTGAAATTTTTCACATGCATATACATGCTGTTCTTATACATATGTACACATATCCATACATAATATACAGACATGTTCACAAAATTACTGATTGAAATAAAGTATTTGTCTGTTGTAAAATATTGTGTATACAAATTGTTTATTAGTGAGTAATTCAGTAATGACTTAAATCTTTGTTAGAATATTTTATGATTTTAACGTTTTATTTCAATAATTTTTATAAAATTTTATTATCAAAATTTAAATATAATTTTTTTCTTTAAAATAATTTATCTAAAATTAAAGTAAATTTTTTTTAGAAAAACAAAGAAAGATTGAAAGAAGTTTTTACATACATTTTATGTGTAGTTAATGAGATGATAACTGACTTAATGGCTGGATTGGATTCCATGGAAAGAAAACGACAAGAATACATTAAAGAACTTATCATGACTGAACAAGCATATATAGAAGATATGAGGCTTGTTCATGAGGTACTCTAAAATATATTATTAAATATTATTAATTATTATTTTATTATTATTAATTTTATTATACTATAATTCTATAATCTATATATATATAGATTATAGAATTATAGTATAGTAGTATACATATGTAATTTATACTTTAAAAAATAAAAATTTTTTCACAGGTATTTGAAAAACCTCTTATTGAAAGTTTAGTTTTAACAATGGATGAAGTAGATAAAATATTTGTTAACTGGAGAGATATTATTGCATGTAATGATAATTTTTTGAGGTAATATTTCGCAAAATATTTTATTCAAAAAAATATATATACAATGTCAATTAAAATCACTTATATGATAAATTTTTTCAGAACATTACGAATACGACGAGATAATAGCGAAAATGGGATTGTAAGAATGATTGGAGATATTTTATGTGAAAATGTAAATTTCTTTAATTTTTTATAACTGATTTTATTTTATAGATTCATATTTATAAATTATATAAAATTTTATATATACAAAATTTTTATATTTTAGATTCCTAGAATGTCAGCATACATAAGATTTTGTAGCTGTCAGATATCTGCTGCTGTATATCTTCAAAGATTGACCGAAACTGTACCGGAATTTGTTAAAGTTGCTCAAATTTGTCAACAAGATCCACGCACAAAAGGAATGCCTTTGAGTTCTTTCCTCATAAAACCAATGCAAAGAATAACAAAGTATCCCCTTATTATTAGCAAAGTATCTATTTTTCATGTTTTTAACTTTATTATTTATATATATAAAAATATATATAAATAAATAAATATTATATTAATTTATTCTAATCATTTTAGATTTTGCAGCATACTCCAATTAATCATCCTGATAGACAATATCTTCAAGAAGCATTAACCAAAGCAGAAGAATTTTGTACTCAAGTAATATTCTGGAAATATTGATTTTTGAATAATTTAGAAAAAATTAAAAAAAAATATATTATAACATTTATTTTTTATTTATTTTTTATGTAGGTAAATGAAGGAGTTAGAGAAAAAGAAAATAGTGATAGATTAGAATGGCTTCAAACACATGTAGCTTGTGATGGTCTTGAAGAACAACTTATTTTTAATTCTTTAACCAATTCTTTAGGTCCACGAAAACTTCTTCATTTTAGTATACTTCATAAGGTATATAAAATCTAGATTATATAATCTTAGAAAATCTAGATAATTTTAAAAAAGATTATATTTTTTTTATATTATATCTTTATATTTTAATTCATATATTAATTTTATAATATTAAGTTTCATATTATAATTTTCATATTTTTTTTTTTTTTTTTTTTTTTTTTTTTTTTTAAGGCAAAAAGTGGAAAAGAACTTGTTGGATTTCTTACAAACGACTTTTTATTATTTGCTCAACCAATATTTACCAAAAGATTTTTATCCAATGGACAACAATTTTCATTTGAGAGAAATGAAAATCAAAAATTTAAGATGTATAGAAAGGTATTCTATAATATAAATAAATTATCATATTAATAATATAATAATATTAACTGAAATATTTTTTTTTTTATAGCCAATATTCTTAAACGAGTTATTTTTTTTGGGTGATTCAGAGACAAATGGTAATATTAATTTAAGTTTCAACGAAGGTACAGAAAACTCTAAAATACTCAGATTAAGAGATCACAAAAAACCAATAATATTATTAGCACCCACCTCAAGTGAATGTTCATTATGGATTAAAAGAATTATAGAAGCAAAAAAAATATTTATGGAGAATGAAAAATCACGTTTGCAAAAACAAAGATCAAGTAAGTTATATTTATTCTCATTATTTTTAAAAATTAAAAATTTGAGATATAAAATATTTTGTATTTGTTCTTGTTTTATTATTATTGTAATAGTGAATGATATAAATATTTTATAATATTCTATAATATATATTTATGAAACATTTATAATAAATTTGATATATAGTAATATGTAAATGTGTATGAGTAAATAGAGCAGGCGCAATTTGGAGCTTGTGGGAGAATTCTTGTTACAGTGCTTGAAGGTTTCAATTTAAAGACAATAATAGGTAAGTGAACGCTTATGCTTAAATTATTTGTTTTTTTATGCATGTGCTTTTTAATTGCTTGTGTGGTTGCTTGGCGCTATTTATTATTTTGATATAAGTATATTATAAAAACAAATAAAATAAAATCGTCTACAAAATCATTAAAAATTATTTATATTATAATTATAATAGAATATATATATATATATATTCTATCTATGCAACATTATTTTAGTAACAAAAATTTGGCATGATTATAGTTTGCAGAAGACCAGTTCAAGGTAAACTTCAATTAGTAATTATGGAAGCTGAAGATTTAGTTATATTAAAGAAAGGTAAAATATTTTATTTGCATGCAAATTTTCAGATTCAATCCATGGATGGACATATATATATTTTTTTCTTTCATAATCATTTTGCATGTAATTTGTTTGTAGTTAAATTTAAAAGAAATTATTTCTCTTAATTATAGATGATTTAATATCTAATAATAATAAAAACTTAATAACATTAATTATTCACATATTAATTTTAAAAGCCATGCAACTGCAATTTACTTTATGCATATAATTTTTGCTTCATTAATAATATAAATACTATAATTATTCTAATTGGAATTATATTTATTTTTATATATTATAATAATTATAATTCTAACAAAAAAATCTAATTATATAGGAAAATGTAATACATTTTGTAAAGTTAGTATGGGTTCGCAAGAACAAAGAACAGGTATTGTATCAGGAACTGATTGTCCTTTGTGGGATACATCAATGCAATTCCAAGTTAAAGATTTACATGAAGATACATTGTGTATTACAGTTTTTGATAAAGGCTATTATAGTCCAGATGGTAAAATTAATTTCACAAATAAATTAATTAAATGTAATTTTAATGATTTCTGAATAAAAAAATTATTTAAATATTATTATAGAATTTCTTGGACGAGCAGAAATAAGAGTTGCTGATGTAATGCGAGATAGCAAGGATTCTTGTGGACCAATACAAAAACGAATACGATTACATGAAGTCGAAAAAGGCAACGTTGTATTAAAATTGGACTTACGACTCTTTGGTAATCAATAAATGAATTAAATTGTTTATTCATAATAATATTCATATTTACATATTAAATTATAATGATGTAAAGTTATAATTATTATTGTCAACAAAATTTTTCATATGATTACTTATAAAAAAATTTCTTACCTAAATGCAATTAAGTAATTTTAATAATTATAAATTTAATAATTATAGAAGCATAAAATAATTGATTTTTATATTTCATATTTATTATATTTTATTGTATTTTCGAAAAGTTTATAATATGTAATGCATTGTCTTAATCATTCAAGACTAATAATTTTGGTATTGATTTACAAGAAAATATATATATATTTTTATTTTTTCATATATATAAAGCTTGTCCAATCACTTTAATTATTAGTCTTCCTTAGAGATTAATTATTTATATTCTTGTTAATCTACAGTATTATTTTTATTGTTTTATTGTAAAATTAATAGTAATAATATAACAAGATAGCATTTATATTAAATATATATTATACAAAATATAAAGCATTTAGATAGGTATTAATATAAATAAATCAGATACAATAAATAATTTAAAGAAAATAATTTATTTAATTAAATGCTTAATATATGATTTTGATCATAGTATATATTGACTTGTAAATAAAAATCTATAATAACACATATAATATGTGAATTAAATATACAAAATATGATAATTTTTAATTTAACAAAATAAATTTTATAAAATTATTATATAGGCTATCTATAAAATAGATGTTTATATTAAATTAATATAATTATAATAATTTTTTAATATAATAAATGCTTTAGGTGATAATCATAATTAAATAGATTACAAGTAGTGCAAGTAGTGCAAAGTAGTGTAAACACATATAATAAAATTTTTAAATACAAGATAATTTTTTAATATTACATCATTAAAAATAATGTTTCATTTAATTTTTAAAAATAATTTAAATTAAACTTAATTGAATTGCTTGCACTTCATTGCATCCAATCCATCATTAAATTCAATGATCCAGAATATATTATTATTATAAAGATTATATTTAGATTTAATTCAATTTTCTGAAGACAATAATATATCCTATCGATGCGTAGATTTCAAAGATTTTAAAGATATTTAAATCCCTTTTTAAAATAATGTTCCCCTTAGCATTACTTTAAAATTTTAAGTTATTAAAAATTATTAAGAAAAAAAATTTTTTTTTTTTTGGAAAAATAGTATTATCAAGAAGAGTATAATGATTCACAAAATATAATGATATCTTATACTCTGATTGAAATTTTATCTTACAAGTTAATTACAAGTTTACAATTTTATTTTATTGCTATTCTCTACTTATTGATCTTCATGAAAATAAATTTTAAATAAAAAAATACAGTATCATGTTCTTATTTTATTTCTTTATCCTATTATCTTAGAAAAAGAATTTCTAAATTCTTTCTTGCATACAAGTTGATAAAATTCGGTTCCGGTTTGCTTAAAATAAGACAGTAGTGTATTCAAAATTTATCTTCATTCAATTAGTATATTTTTCTATATGATAAATATATTTTGTCATCAAACTGTTGAATTGGCAGATTCGTGGGCATATGTATTCACTTCTGTTTTCAAGTCATTAGATTCTTTATGTTTTGAATGATTCTCATTTTGCGTTGGGAATTCATAAATTGGTTTGAAACCACCAAACATTTGTGGTTTAAAATTTTCGGCATCAAATTCTGTTTTTTCTGTCTGTATCTCTTCTACATTTAATATAGAAGAATTATCATCTGATTTTCTATTAATAGTAGATTCCATCGCAACAACGCTCCAACTATTTTTTGAAGGTTTTTCTGCACTGATACTTGCTACAAATGGCGGCATAAAGTTTTGTGGAGATGGTGCAGAGCTAGAAGAACTAGAAGGTTGTTGGGATGGCAACAAAATAAGTTTTTGATTTTTATCAATTTCAGAATTTTTTTCATCTCGTATATCTACATCTAAATGATGAGAAGATTGCACTGTTGGAGTATAAACATAAGCAATTGGCGTAGAAGAAGATAAGGCTGGTAGACGATGAAGAGTAGTTGAAATCACATCGTTTTTCTTCGGTGGAAAAGGTACAAAGTCCTGTAGATATGGTATGATATTTACGTTAGAATCTTTTTCATCTTTTTCTTCGGTATTTTCTTCTTGTCGCTGCACAGGATTTTCTTCTTGTCGTTGATCACTGGGCACCAATAATGGCGTTTCTCTCATTCCATTAATAAGAATAGAAGGATCAGGACGTTCTAAAGGATATGGAAAATCTGACATAACTGGACGTTTATTAAATCCATTATGAATAGAAAGTTTTATTTCTTGATCCATTTCTTGATGATTCTCATTGTCCTGGAGTAATGTTTCTGGAGGAAGCGGTCGATGAGGACCTCTCGTTCCAACTACCACACTTTCGTCTTTTTCTCTAGAATCATCAGGATGAATATTTACAGCAGTATTAACAGGATAAACTACATAAATTGGTGACTTAGCCATTGTTTCATGATTTTCAAGTTTCCTTCCATCTGCATTTTGATCAATCATTATTCTATCCGATTCATCATCTATATTTGGTAAATTCATTGGTAAATTTGATTCTGTAATATCTTCTTCGAATTCCCTATGCTGTTGAATCATTTGAAGAGTAGCTACGTGCGGTGAATCCGCTGTTCTTCTCTTGAGAAATAAAGGAGGCTTTGGCGGAAGTGATTCTTCTGAATAACGTTCTGACCGTTCTTCTTCTTCCAATCGTAATTTTTGATTAGTTAATCGATGAGCCAATTTAATATCTTCTGCTCTTGAAGTAATTAATACCGATGGAAGACGAAACCTCTTAATTGTAGAATCCGTATCTCGAGAAGATATTGCATTTTCAATTTTTGTACCAAATCTAACAGTATGAATTGGAGGAGGAGGAGGAGGAGGATTTAATCTCTGAAGATAAAATGGAGCTGAAAGTAAAGGTCTCCTGGTTGAAGGATAAGATTGAATAGATTGTCTTACTCTAGTAGAATAAGTTTGACCAGCTGAAATTGTTCCAATGATTTCTGATCCACGATGCCCATGAGATGTCTTAGCATTTGGACGAAATTGTGGGAGAATATTTGGTAAAGTAGAATCGGGAGAATAAGGGCGTCTTCTTTTTCCTATGAATTCTGAAAGAAGAGTAGGAGATGGTGATGGTGATTTTCCACGAGATGGTAATCTTTGAGGTCTAAGATGATCAGGCTTTACTATAAGATCTCCATAATTGTAGTGATAATAAAACTGTGAAGGTAACTTTGATTGTTCAGCTGGTGGAGTCAAATTTTCTGAAAGTTGTGGCAAGTGTTCTTCATTTGAAATTAGAGGACCCATTCTTACAGGTTTTAATGTTGTGGAAGAAGATTTTATTTCATTAGCTTCGTTTTTAACAATGATATGATCTTCGATTGATTGTATAGATTCATCCTTAGGGAATACTATATGATTAATATCTTTATCATTCTTTTTATCTTCTGACTCTTCTAGAAATATAGTATCCTTTATAAATGAATTTTGTGTTTTAGAAGGTTCTATTTCATTAGCTAATTTTTGAGTTTCGGTAGGATTAGGTTGTCTTGATTGAGCATAAGTGTAATTATTCTCCAATACAGATATTAACGGTAAACCAATTATTTCTTGAAAATCTGTTTGTGAATCATAATTACTTTTATTTGGCGATGCATTGTAGAGAGGTCGAAAAGAGGAATCTAATTTGGTGGAACCACTATAAGGATTCTCTCCAATCGCAGTACCTAGGGAATAATATCCACCTTCAACATTTTGTCTATTTCCAAGGACAAAAGATACCATATCCTGATCAGGTGGTATCAATATGTTACTAGTGCTTTCTACAAGAATTTCTTCAGTTGGTTTTTGATTAATAATTGTATTTGGATGATATCCCTGATTCATAATAATATTATCTGCAATGCCATGTTTTTGATTATCATTTTCAAATGACATATATTCATTATTTAAAGGCATGGATGTTATTGGGCGTAGAGAAGGAACTTGAAATGGTAATGAATTATTTTGTAAAATGCTTTCCTGAGATATTGGTGATAAATGGATTGCAGAGGATGATGGAACTGATGTGTTTATTATTGTAGTTGTCATGGGAATGATTTCTGAATTTTTTTCAGTGATCATTGTTATATTAGAAATGGATGTCGTAGTAGGCAATGTACTAGTTCTTATAACTTCATTAGTCGTCTCTTTCATTGAAACGTAATCTTTTATTTCTTCTTCTTCTTTTCCAATATCATAATCTTCGTAATTATTGATATATTCTTCGTGTTTTATAGGAAGTTTTGTTTGAGAATCTCGATTATGATGCACTATATTATTTGATCCTTGATGATTATTACTGTACATAGATGATTGAAGTTTCTCTATAGGAAGAATATCATCCTCTAAATAATCAACAAATTGTTTAGGAGTGGAAATTGAAGGTTTCCAAGTCGTTACAACAGGTAACTTCATAGAAGTTGAAGTAATAGTAGATGGAGAAGTCGTAGTGGTAGCGATAGTAGTGGTTGTCATTGGCGTTGAAGTTATGATAGGTTTATAAGTTGTAGAAATAGTATCAGGTGTAATCGATGATGTTGGTTTAAGTGTCGTCATTGTCATTGTTGTAGTCATCGTTGTAATCGAAGTTGCTTTAGACATATATGGTCTTTTAGTAGAATAATATATTACAGTTTCTCCATGATAAGGTTTATGATTATAGGTACTATAACTATTCGATCCACTCTGAACTTTTGTATTTGCATAAGAACTTGATATCAATGGATACTTGTCTTTGTCATACTTACCAGAAGAATACTGTATAGGAAGATTAAGAAAATCGTGAAAATTAAGTAAATAAGGATTAATTTCGTTGGGACTAACATCCTCGGTTTCCTTATTGTTTTCCATTTTTTTTTTCATTAAATAAGAACTGTTTCCTTTTGAAAAATCCTTGATCTGTTCATTTTTATTCAATTCTTGATAATGATTGGTATAATTTAAAGCCTTGACAGGTTTCTCGAAATCAATCTTACCGGTAATAGGATCTTTTTCGAGTGAGAACGGCCTGCCACCATTGAAGGCGAAAGGATATGGCACGTGATAACGCGGCGTTTCTTCGTCTAACGTTGAAAGAGCAACGGTGCTCTCTTCCCTAACAAGATCTAGGTCAAGATCATCCAGCTGTGCCGTCCTTGCCAAATTCGGAGAAGATTCAGTTTTTTCTAGTAAAGATTTTGGTGGATTGTTATCTATGTGACCGCCCATCAAATATTCGGACAATACACCATTTATACAAATCAGTATGACCATCAGTTTCCATGGATTAAATTGCATTGTTTTCGACAAATCTGAAAACAAATTTCATATCGTGTAATAAAATAAAAAATTTTATATATTAATCATAATTATAATTATTATTGATGAAGATATTATTATACAAGAGGAAAATTTGAGTGTTGAATTTTTTTTTAATAATGAATTTTTTTAATAATTTCTTAATAATGAATTTCTTAATAATAATTATTATTATGTTTAAAAATCTATTATTATGTTTCAAAATCTATTCAATTTTTTTTTTGCTTATATTTATACAACTTATAACTATATACAACTTCAAATTATTCAAGATGTTTGTTGTTCTTATCAATTTTCAGTGTATTCAATAATAAAGTATAAAAGAATTCTATTCTTTATTTTGTATTTAATATAATTTAATAAATATGATTGATTGATATGATGATTGAAATATATAATGCCGTATGATTTGTTACTGATTTATCGCATCATATCCTTATCGAAATTACTATTATATAAATGCTTCAGCGAATTTGCATGACATTCTTTATAATAAGAACAACATGAACAAATAAAAATTAACTAATTAAAACTGTTCACTCGTGTAAATAAACTCGTGTAATAAAATAATAATCTTTAATTTAAAAATACTTTCTTTTCTTCTTTATAAAATATCATTTCAGGAAATCATAATAAAAAAAATAATTATTTATTATTAAATATCATTTAATTTATATAAATTATTAATAATGTGAAAAATAATATTAATATTATGATTATAATAGTCATGATTACAATAGTCGAATAATTCTAATAATCATAATAATCAGAATTTGAAAATAAAAATAAAAATTTATTTTAAATTTTTAATAATTAATGAACTCTTTAACCATTAGAAAATTTTTAATATTATATTATCAATATTAAATATAATAATAAAGAAGGACAGAATATTTCATTTTTTATGAAGCAGAATCACGTTCCATAACGAATTTTTTCATCTTCTTTCTCTTTTTTTCTATTTCATATTTTTCTCGGTATTCCAATAGTTTTGTCGAGATTGTGCCACACAATTTCAATCTCTATATAATCAGTATTTGGCATTAGTATTTTGTTACTCGTATTTTCGAACGAATTTTTGTCACAGACAAACTGTTGTTTTGAGAAAATTCCCTTAAAGTAATTGAATACGCTTTCGAAGGATGTACATGATAATTAAATGTTTTATGCATATGTAATATACCATTATTAATAATATATATAATAATATATATTATAAATATTATTATATAGGATATTTCTTATATAAAATATAAATATTTTTGTTTAAATTCTTTTCAAATTTCAACAATTTCTACAAATAAAAAAAAATATTACGTAATAATATAAATGCTTTACTAGAAAATTATAATGAAAAATGAAGACTATTAGAAAAAAATAAAAAATGATATAAAATGATATAAATACATAAATATCTATATTTTCGAAAAGTTATTTATTTTTATTATTTGATATCAATGAATTATTTTATTTATTGTAAATTCTAATTCAATCCAATTTTGTTTAATTTTATCATAATGCAATTTTTATTTTTGTTAATTATTTTAATTAATTCATATGTATTTATGATTCATAAACATTCTTATTTAAAATTATATTTCTATAAATATAAATCTAAAATTGTAAAATCTAGAAGACCAAAAAATCAATTTCAATTGATTCATTTTTTGTAATAATATAATATTTCTTATATATATTGTTATATAATATAATATAATAATCATTATATATTATAATAATATTTATAATTATATAATATAATATAATTATAAATATTATATAATTATATAATAATTATATAATATAATAATATTTATAATAATAAATATATTATTAAATCAAAAAAAATTTTTACACCTTTATTATAACTTTTTAATAAAATATTTATAAACTTATTATTAATTTTTACGGTAAAAATTTTTATTTGATCAAGTTTGATCAGATAATTAAAAAATTTAAAACTTTAATTTAAAATTTAAAATTATATATATATATATATATATAATTTAATTTAAAATATTCTATATATATATATATATATATTTATTTGTTTTTTAAAATGTTTTTATGATTATTTTTCAAAATTGTTTTGTTTGATTATTAATGAAAAGTATCTTTTCTTATTTAATATAGTATTATATATCATTTTTTTTTATTTCAGTGATATGTTTACAAAATATTAAATTTTATAATCTAATAACTAGAAAATCATGTTTGAAAAAATTTCAAAAATTAAAATAAAAATTCATATATTCTTTTGCCCTCTTTTATTTATAATCCTACTTATAAATTATAAATTATTTTAATATAAAATATCATAATTGATCCACAATTTTGTGCACAATTGATTCATTGATTTTCGTTTCTTTTCTAATTAAAAAATTATAATTGACATAAGTATTACTAAAAAAAATTTACTATTGAATATATTAAACATTACGAAGATCTAATTATAGAAAGACATTAGCAAATTAGAATAAAAAGAGTTAAAATAAACGAATCTTATAATTTTTATTATTGGTTGAATAGCAGAAAAGAACACAAATAGATTCAATGAATTGAAGTAATTTTATATTCCGTTTTAAATCTAAGATTCTTTTGTGATTATAATATTTGTCTCTAATATATTCGTGACCATGATTACCTCCTAACTCAGTAACTAATATTGGTATACAAAACAAATGCATATACTGTTCATCGGAATGACCTACTTTAACTGTCTTGGTTTCGGGGTTTCATCCTCGAGAATTGTTTCAAATCCGTGAATCATTCGTTTTTCTATCATCAATAATCGTAATAACATTTATTATTGATATTTTTTTCTTTTTTTTTTTATAGTATTTCTTATTGTGAATGATTTATTGTGATTTCAATAAATTATTTTGAAAATAAAGAATTCTTTGTTAATCATTTTTTTTTGTTTCCGTTTATAATTAATGAAGCTTTTAATTAAGAATCAGAATCTTTGTTAGAATTTGTAGTATTATTCTATGATTTGTAAATCTTTAATTTTAATAAAAAGATTTATTTTCAATTTTTTATTATTTTTTTTTCAAAGAATCTTTTGTTTCTTTTTATCAATAATTTCTTGATTAAAAATTATAATTATTATTCAAACAAAATAATATTAGTATATTAAATAATCAAATAATCTATTTCATTTTTTAATTAAATTGTTCACAATAAAGTGCAATGCAAAAAATATCGTTTTCTTAATTTTTTTAATATATTTTAATGCAATTATATTATATTTATACTTCTGTGTGAAACAGTTTGTAACGTTTTATACCGCAAACTCGCCCTAATTACATATAACGGTACTATGATTGCAGAATATATATATATAATATATTTATATATATTTTTATATATTATGCTTATAAGAAAATCATGGAATATTATTCTATTCACTTCATTCTCATCACTAACTAATTTAATTAATGATGAAAAGATTTACAATTTCAATTGCAATTTCAACCAAAATTTATTATTTAAATATAATTTATAACTTTTAATATTTCAATTTTTTTTATAAAATGTTTGATTAAACAACTTTTTTTTAAATGTAATTTTCTATTATTTTATTGAATTTATAAAAAAACATTTATAAAAAAAATTAAAAAATATAGATTAATCCTTAGAGTTATAATCTTCCATAAAGATGAATTAAAATGATTTAAAATATACATATTATGTAAATTTTATCATATTTATATATTTAAATATAATAAATATGTATTTAAATAATTATTTTTTAAGATATTTTTTAAATAATATTTCATAATATGTGATAGAATGCAATTATTTAAATTATAACGAAAAAAAACGATATATAACATAATTAACTAAATTCAAAAATTAAATATAATAAAAAATTAATCAATTAACATATTTTTTTTCAATGTTTTAGATTTTAAAAATAATGAATATTTATAATTAAAAAATGATACCTGAATCTAATAATAAAATGAAGGTGGATGTTTTCCACTAATCTCAGAATCAGAGTTCCCAAGCATTTAAAACTCCATGTAAATAAACTCTAATTATCTTTCAGTTCGTCACTTTCCGTTTTCCCTCACAAAGAAAACAATTAAAATCACGAACCCGACAAAGATGAGTAAAACATATGACGAAACCATGAAAACTTGCAGTTCTAGTAGAAGGTCACACATCGACTGAGATGCTTCAACGACCAGGTGACAGCAAGAAGACATCAGAGATGGTAGCAATAAGATGAAGAGGTGGAAACATGAAGGAACGTGAAATGTATTTTATAGGAATAGGACAAATCTAAAGAAGGAAACGAAATCTCGGAAGATTCTCCTTCAGAATGAAAGTATAATGAATCAATGAATTTTGATGACTTCGATTGTGTAAAAAATTAACTTTTATTTTTTTATTTTATTTTATTATTCTTGTATTATATTGTATTGTATTATAATAAATTGATGACTGATATATAAATTTTAAAAAGAATCTAATTTTCATTTTTTTATAAAAAATTCAAAAATTGATATTATATAAATTAGTGATATATAAAATAATAATATATAAATTTTACAAGAAAATTTTTAGATATTGATAAAAATTTAAATCTATAATATATTTTTAAATAAATAAGAAATAAATTCTGTTAAGTTCTATAAATAATCAAGTTATAAGTTTCTTAAAATATTTTTGTTAATCTTGATTTATAAATATCATTTAATATCATCATTATAAATTTGGTTCTTTAATGTTTATTATAAACTTTGTGAAATTCTAATCATTTTTTATATTTTTTAATTAATATTTTTTTTTAATTTATTTTTATAAAATAAAATTAATTTGTTTAATTCAATAAAAGAAAAAAAGATTTACTAATTAATTATATATATTTAATAAATTATATTAAAAAAATTTGTTTTCATCAAAAAAATGTAATATGAAAAATAAATACAAACTTTTTAAGATTTTTTTAAATACATCAATATAGAAAGATACTTTAATGTACATATTATATATATTAATAAGAAAAAGAAAGACAGAAAAGAGATAATATATTTCAACGTATTTCACGGTTAGATGGTAGGAGGTAAGAAAGAAGAGTAGTTGAATTTGACTAATGAACGGCACAGAGTCTACAGAACGGTACGTGGAACAGTTAGACGACGACCCACATTACAGTTGTTCAGGGCCGGCCAACGTGCCAGTTTCTTCGTTATCCTCTTATCCTCCGTTAACGCAAACTAAACATTTTAGGATTCTACTAATATCTTTCAATTATTCTTTCTCTTTTTTCTTTAAAATTTCTACCTATTATATGAATATTCTATTCTATTATATGAATAATTATCTTTCTATTTCTGTTTGTCTTTAATTAGTAATTTTCTTTCTTAAAATTTATACTAATGATTCATTAACAAAATTATAGATTTATTTTCTTCAATTATTTCTAAAATCTATATTAATCATTATTATTGATATTCAAGCACCAATATTCAATTTTTTAAAAAATTTATGAAAATATTTTTAAATTTTTTAGAAAAATTGTAAAATAAAAAGTTTAAAATAGGTATTAAAGAATTGTTGGATTATAAAAAGAATGTTTTTTATTTAGTTAAATATAAATTTATTTATATTTTCTATATTTCTATATTATATTTTATTTATTTATAAATTCATTTTTCATAATTTCGTCCTTTATTAAAACAATGTTTTACAATAATAAAATCATATTTAATATCTATTTTCTTTTTCCTTTCTTTATAATAGACACTGGTGCTGGTAATGGTATTTTCAAAGTGACAATTTTTTTATCTTCTTTATTGGGTAAAGCACCAATAATTCTGGCAAGATCTGTCAATTTTTTTAAACCCATACGGTGACTGAATATAGTTGCAAATAATTCTAAATCTAACGTAAAGTTGCAAATTATTAAAGCTAATATCATACAATGTATCACTCCTTTATCTTTTACACTAGTTGGCCTCAGCCTAAAAATTACTTATTAAATTATTAAAAATATTATATTATTATATTATATATGTATATTTTTTTTACATACCGTCCATGATTACTCTGAACACTATATGTGTTTATTATATATGAATTAATTTCTTCAGATACTAAACAAACTTTAATACCACGTTTTTTAGCATCTTTAATTGGCATATTTAACCATGTTGCAATTGCTTGAATATAAATTAATAACGCAATTTTTTTAAGATTATCTGAATCAGATTTCAAGTATTGTAATGTTCGAATAAAAAATTTTGAATTTCTAAAACAACAAAATATAATTTAAATTAAATTATTAAATATTTTATATATATTATTAATATGTAATTAATATTTAATAAAATTAATAATAAAATTATATATATATAATAATAAAATATATTATTATATATATAATAATGAAATTATTTAATAAAATTAATAATATTGAAGAAATGATAATTTTTAAAACAAACATACTCTTCTAAAGTATTAGAATTGTTATTTAAGATTTCTTTAACATTATTATACAAATTTTCCAATTTATTTTCTGATACAATATCATATATGTTATATATATCGTTTACATTAGTAGCTTCTCTATTGCATTCTGGCAAAGTTGTATTTGTAATATATTCATTATTTGACAATTGTGTTGATAATTCCATTCTATCAATTTCAACATCTATAACAAAAACATATTTCAATTCATCTTCTCTTAATATTAAAATATATGAATATTTATAAAAATAATTCCTCACTAGATACAGTTTCCTCAAGCTGTTCTTTAATAGATTCTACATTTACTTTTAATCTTTCAAATTGTTCTGTTCTTCTTTTCACCTTCTTTGAACCAAATTGTTTGTTCAATATAGCAATCTTTTCATCTTCAGCTTCTTTATTATCCTTAATTGCTGATTTTTCCAAAATTGGAGTCACTTGCCAACGTTCAACTTGGACCAATCTTGCTTTTCCTGTTTTTTTATTATGAAGTACAAGCATAGTACGCATCAGATCTTGAGTTGTATCTGGTTTATAACCTCTATAAACAATTTGCTGATTTGATAAAGCCAACATTGTTTTCTTTTTATTTTGATCATAAAATAATCCACAAGACATTTTTTTAGCTTCCTCATCTTTGAGTTCTCCATTTTGAAAATTAACTGTAACATAATTATTTTTTTAATATAAAAACATAAGAGCAAATAAACGTAATATATAAAAAACAAACAAAGCACAAATTACGAAAATTGTTTATATTTTAAAAGGAAATTTAAAAAAACAATTGATAATTTTATAAAATACACATAAATTATATATAATAAATATTACTTTGCAATTTTATAATTTTTTAAAAAGATTTAAACACAATTTTTTTTAAACAGTATTATAATTTCTAATAAATATAAATATAATACCAATAATTGGTTGAATTTTAGATGGTTCTATGATAACATCATCAATAATCGCTCGTAATAGTTTCATTTTTCAAAAAATATTATTTCACTTCTTATTATATTAGAAATATATCATATTTATCTATATCTAAATTTTCAAATATTCTTCAAAATATCGAACAGTTCGGAAAATTAATTTTTTTTTCCATTTCTCTTACCGGAAGTAAAAATATTGAGTTCAATTTCTATGTGATCTATAAAAAGTAACTTATTTTAGAACATAACTATCATTCATTTTTATTATGACTTACTTTATATTTTCATTGATAATATCTTATAATAGATAATAAAAAGAATAAGAATTTGAATAACAAAATTTTATAAACATTAAAAATTTTAAATTTATTTTATTACATTACTTATTACGCTCCTGATTTGTGTCATCTATATGAACTTTCGAGAAGTACGATATACATGAATGTCAAATCTTTCAATGATTTATGTTTGATATTTAATTAATCTAAAAATTAATCTAATGGGTAACGAGGAAACTCCAACTGTAGTGAATAATAATGAAGTAAGAAATGTAGTTAAATATTATACAATAAATAAATATATTTATATCAATATTTTATATAAGATAAAAATTTTCAATTTTTATAGATGCCAATTCCAAAAATAAGGCACGATTGGTATCAAACAGAAAGTCATGTTATAGTTCCGATTCTTGCAAAAAGTGCAAAAAATGTTAAAGTTATTTACGAAAAAAATACAGTAAATATTTAATTTAAGATATTTTTATAATATTTTTCTAATAAATATTGTTGTCAATTATATCGACGAAAGCTTTATCTTTTGATTGTTAATTTAATTTTATTTTTTTTTTTAGTTGAGTGTATCTGCTCTATTACCATCAGGCAATGAATATAGTTTGGAGTTAGATTTAGCTCATGCAATAATACCAGAAGAATGTTCACATAAAGTAGATCCATCTAAAATAGAAATCAAGTTGAAAAAACAAGATGGAATTACATGGACTAGTTTGGAAGGAAATCCTATTGCACAAAAGACAATACAACATATACCAAGAGGTAAAGCAAAGTTTTGTTATATTAAATTTTTATATTATGTTATAAAAATTTTTATATTAAAATAAAATTTTAATTTTTTAAGAAATTTTACAAGCTGGAAATCAACCACAAAAAATTGGAAGTGGAAAGAAACAACGAGATTGGGATAAAGTAGAAAAAGAGATTGAAAAACAAGAAGCAGAAGAAAATCCAATAGGAGAAGCTGCTTTATATGCTTTATTTCAACAGATATATGGTAGTGGATCTGATGAAGTTAGACGTGCAATGAATAAATCTTTTGTAAGTATTTCTTTTCAAAAAATATATAATATAATAAATATATTATATTTACTTTAATATTATAATATTTCTAAAAATAGCAAGAGTCTGGTGGTACAGTGCTAAGTACAAATTGGTCAGAAGTAAGCAAAGGTAAAGTTGAGGTAAAATTACCAGATGGTATGGAATGGAAACCTTGGAATACATAAAATAGTTCATAATTAAAATTCAAATTGCTTATTATTTAACCTAATTTCATTTTACTTTTAATAAAATCATATATTAAAAATAAAATTAATTAAAACAATTATATCTATAAAAACACCATGTTATATTTATCCAATTCATTAAATATATAATATGTGTATTTTTCTGAAAAAATTGTAATTTTTTTTCTTTATATAAAGAATAAAGAATCAAATATATTAAATATGATTAAATTATGCAACAAGATTTTTCAGTTAAATACATTTTTCCAGTTAAATGCATGTGTATAATGTATTTCTTATTTTATTGTATATAATTAAATATATACATATGTATCATATATGTATTTATAGAACATTTACAAATAAATAAATGCTTGTTATTAAAAATTATTTCAAATAAAATTATATTATTAATTATAAAGTGATTTTATCGAGTTAAAGAGCTTAATATACATATACCAATAAATAATCCAAATACAATATAAGTTCTTGCCAATTCTATTGTATTATTATCATCTAATCTATCTTTTTCATTAACCATAGTTACATTTTGTTTATTATTTTTTATTATATTATTACTTTCTATTATTTTATGAAAAGTTGTACTTATATTTCTATTATTATTTTCTATTAATTTATTAAAAGTTGTATTTATATCTTTTTCTAAAGAATGAAAGCTACTTCTCAACAAATTTTCATTTTTTTGCTGTGTTTCATATATAATATTTTGAATATTTGCTATTCTTTTATTATTGTATATCATTGAACCTATCAATGATATAATTGCTAATATGGCAGATGCAAGAATAGATAAATATTTATACTTTTGAGCATTCATTGTTTGACTATCATGATATTCTTTAATAGCAGTAGCCAATAATGTAAAATAATCTTTTTCTTCTTTTTCTAATAAATTAAGTTGCGATATAATTTTTGCTTGATCTTGAAGATTTTTATTTTCTATTATTGTTAATTGAACATATTTTGGATCATCTCTCTTAATTTGTATTAATTCTGAATATACTTCCTTTAATTTGTCATTTATTGTCATTGCTTCACGATTTAAATGTCTTCTTTCATCTTGACATTTGAATAATTTATCTTGTGCAAAAATTACTTGTTCTTTGGCTAATTCAACTTTATCTAAGCCTGTTAATTGTTGATACCATTGCCACCATTTGACAACTTTTTTTGGTAATGGACTTGGTTCAAATTGTGTTCCATTTATATTTTGAATTAATGTAATATTACGATTAATTTGCTGAAATAATATTAAGTAACTTATATTTAAATATATATTATAATTTTATAAAAATATAAATAAATAACATACCTTTGCTAGAATATCATACTTTGTAGTAACAATACTTTGTATATTATTCAACTTTTTTTGTGCTTTTTCAGAAGCATTATTAATTCTCATTGTTGCATTGTTAAATACTTGATGTTTATTTATTTCATTGCTTATTATTTTGATCAATGATCGAAATTTTTCTACCATTTTGTTCATACATCAGAATTATACAAAATTTACAATAAAAAATTAAATAATTTCATTTTTTATTATTATTATATATTTTTATTTGCTGATTAATTATTATATTTTTATAATTTCATTTTTTATTATTATTATATATTTTATTTGCTGGTTAATTATTATATTTTTAGAATCAACACAAAATGTAAATTAAATTTAAATAATCTTATAAATTCTTTTAAATATTATAAAAAAAATAATTATTATATTTTATAAATACAAAATTTTTAATTAAATATAAATAATTGTAATTGTTTTGTATTTAATTAAATACAAAATTAATAAAAGTATTCATGTGAAATGTGTAAAGTAATCTGTAAATTAAATATATGAAATTTAAAATTTATATTTAAAAAATTTTATATTATAATTTTATAATTTTATTTATAATTTTCAAAAAAATATTAAAAATTTTTCAATTTTTCTATCCAAGAACAGTCTAAATATGTAAAGGCTTGACTTAAGGCTTATTTTCAAAGGTTAGTATGAAAATACAAATTTGTTTAGGAAATTACTCATTTATAAATTTATAGAAATTTTGTATTTTCATAATAATTTTCATAATAATTTTGTATAATAATTTCATTTGTGAATAAAAGATTTAAAAAAAAAATGAGAAATGTATAAATGTATTTCATATATTTAATAATTAACCTTAAATTTTTCAATATATAATTGTTAATAATATTATTATATTATTAATTTATATTTCTAGTATTTCTTTAAGAAATCAAAATATTTACCAATTGTTTAAAAAAAATTTGATGAATGAAAAGAAATTTTTTCATAATGAAAAGAAATGCACGACAAATATCTCGAAAAGTAATTATTTCAAGCGATTCAGAAAATGAATTTGGAAATATTTCAAGCGACGAAAATTATGTACCTGAAAAAATATCCAAAACAATTAAAAAAAAAAAAAAAACAATTATAAAAAATAAAAAAAAAAAAAATGATTTGACAACATATGGTAATGAACATACAATAATACAACTTGGAAACGAGAAAACAAAAATAGAACATATAGATATTACAGAATCAACAGCTTTAAAAAAGATACAAAATAAGAATATAAAAATAAAAGAAAAAAAAATACAAGATTTCAATACAGAAAATATTAAACAGATATTAAAAAATACAAATTTTAATTCTATAGAATTTAAAGAATGGACTAATATAGATTATATTAGTGAAATGAATAATGTTGAAAAACATATAGTAGAAAACATTGTAAAGCTTTTTAATAATGACAATACAATTCCATTTATTGCAAGATATAGAAAAGATATGACTGGTGGCATGGAGCCAGATAAGCTACGAGCTTTAAAAGAAAGTTTTGATCATGCCAAAATGATCAAACAACGTGCTAATACTATATTAAAAGCTATTGACAAATTAGGACAATGGTCACCTGATGTACATTTTGCGATTATATCTGCCAAATGCTTGAATGACTTAGAACATATATATTCTTTATTTAAACCATCATCTAAACGAACATTAGCAGAAAAAGCAAAAGATTTAGGTTTGGGACGTATAAGTGATCTTCTATTGCAAGGTCAGGAATTACCACCATTATCTTCTATTATTGATTCTAAGAAAGATGGACTTAAAACTGAACAACAGATTTTAGATGGAATTATACATATTATAGCAGATATTATAAATAAAAATAAAACAATATTTGATAAAGTTAAAGAACTTCAAAATGAATCTATTATAAAAATACAATCTACAGAATGTAAATCCAAAAATAAATCTGTTGATAACAAAGAAAAAAATATGCATAAAAAATATGAAACATATTATGATTTTAATACAAATAATAGATATATTAAACCTCATCAAATATTGGCTATTAATCGTGGAGAAGCACAGAAGATTCTTACAATAAAAATAATTTTACCTGATTTTTTTGAAAGAGAATTTAAAACTTATTGTTATAAATATTATAGGATAGTCATGATAGCATCAAAATTACATTCTAAATTATTAAATGATAGTATTGATTATGCTTATACAAAATTTATTAAACCATTAGTAGTACGACGAGTAAGAAGTGAAATGAAACGAAAAGCAGAGATAGCATCTATTGAAGTTTTTGTAAATAATGTTAAACAATTACTTCTTACTCCACCTGTACGTGGAAAAATTATACTTGGGATAGATCCAGGATTTTCACATGGTTGCAAACTAGCAGTAATTTCAGAACAAGGAGATGTACTTGAAACAGGTGTAATTTATCCCCATAGAAATATAGAAAAGGCTTATAATGAATCTGCTAATATTTTAATAAATTTAGTTACTAAATATAAGGCAACAATTTTAGCATTAGGCAATGCTACAGCTTGTAGAGAAACAGAAATGTTTATAAACAAACTAATAAAGTCTAATTCATTTAAATCATTAGATGTTTCATATGCAATAGTTGATGAATCAGGAGCATCGATTTATAGTTGTAGTCCAGAAGCAAAATCTGAATTTCCAAAATTAGATATGAATTTAATTTCTGCTATTTCTATAGCGAGACGTTTACAAAATCCACTTGCTGAATTAGTAAAAATAGAACCCAAACATTTGGGTGTAGGAATGTATCAACATGATTTACCAGAGAAACAATTGTTAACATCATTAAATGAGGTAAGTAAAATTTATTAAATTATATTGATTTATATTATTTATTTATAAATTATAAAATTTGATGAATTTTATCAATAAAATTTATAAAACTCAATTTATACAATAACTAAAAAGAATAAAAATTATTAAAGGTTGTTTCAGAAGTTGTAAGCTTTGTAGGAATAGATGTGAATACTGCATCACAATGTCTTTTGAAAAGAGTTGCAGGTTTAAATGCATCTCGAGCAAATAATATTTTAGAATGGAGATCTGAATTTGGCCCATTTAGAAATAGACAACAATTAATGGATGTAAAAGGAATTGGAAGCAAAGTATTTGAACAATGTATTGGATTTATTAGAATATTACCAGAAACATCAATGATTGATAATTCAAAAAAACTCAGCCCTATTAAAAAATCAAAACAGGCAATCAAAGCAGAATATAATTTATTAGATCAGACTTGGATTCATCCTGAATCATATAAAATAGCAGAAAATTTTTTAAAGTACTGTAATATTGACTTAAAGAATCTTGGAACTGCAGAGTTTATTGAAAAAGTAAAATTGTATGCCAAAGAAGGATTTACTAGTTTGGCGAAAAAGTTTGGTACAAATAAAACAACTATGGAAGTAATAATTAAGGGTTTATCTATGAAAAAAGATGAGGATATACGATTGAAAACTTGTTCTCCTTTATTTCGAAAAAGTATGTTAGGTATTAATGATATAAATGTGGAAATGCTATTAACGGGTGTAGTACGGAATATTACACATTTTGGAGCATTTGTAGATATTGGAGCAGGTAAAGATGGACTTATACCAATGAAATGGTTAAAAAATTTTACAGTTTTAATAGGTCAACGTGTGGAAGTAAAGGTTCTTTCAGTAGATTTGCAACGTAATAGAATTAATTTAGAATTAATTAATATTTTATAATACGTTTTTATACATATTGTGTAATTATTTATTTAAATGCATTATAAATATAAAAATAAATTATATTTTTATATAGAATTTTTATTTTTTTAAATAATAAAATATAATTTAGTAGTTATAGTAATTTAGTAATTCGTGAAATTAGATATAAAAAAATGAAAAACATATGCATACATAATTTACAGTTATTTCCTTTTATTATTAATAAAAATTATTATAAATAAAAACTTTATAAATGATCATAATTTAGAACATATGTAGATGTACTTTAAATTTTTAATTATTTATGATTAAAAATTATTTATGATTTAATATATTCAAATCTTTAAAAATACGATGTCGAGTTCCTATATTTAATAAAAATAATATAATAAGTATAATATAACAATGAATTTAATATATATATTAAAAATGTATTTTAGAAGATAATATGAAAAAATTATTTCGAATTATGTACTTTTTAATTTTCATTGACGTTTTTCAAAGATAAAATAATAAATCAAATTGCAATCAAATCAAATTTTTTTTATCTAATTTTCTTTATCACGAATTTTATGTAAAAAAAGAACATTATTATTAATTAATTAATTAATTTATAACTGATATGTCTTTCTTTGGAATTCATATTTATTTAAAAATATGTCTGTTTTTGTAAGATAAGTAAAAATAACTTTAAAAAAATGGATATTTATAGTGAAATGAATCGTTATAATGACATAGACAGATGAATTTTTCTGTAAATCTAGTAAGCAAAATTCTACATATTTATGTAAACAAAAATAGATATACTTAAAATAAATCTATTTTTTTTTATTCATATTAAAATAAAAATAATTAGTTATAATTAATTTTATTTTGCAAAATCAAATTATTGGTTTCTTTTTCTAAATGTATTTATTTATGTAAGAATTTCATATTATTATGTGTTTTTGTCTATATTTATTTAAATTTTATTTTATAAAATCAAGTTATTAATTTTTTTTTAATTATATAAATATTTTATAATTATATAAATATTTTATTTACGTAAGAATCTCACTTATTAATTCACAAACTTATTAATTTTTTTTGTATTTTATATATATATATACATGTATATATTTATTTAAATAACTTTTAAAAATACTATATTATCTTTAAAAACATTGTATTTACTTACAGTTATAATATATATATACACAATATATATTTACAACATAGACCTTTCAGAAAATTAGCAGTTCATGTTTGCTAAATTTGTTTTGTTATTGCTATTAAAATTATTTCTTAATTTATTATGGTAGATAGATGAAATTGCAGAATATCATTATACTGTTGATATTGAAATGGTAATTTTTTTTTTTGAGTTGACAAAGAAAGAAATCAGTAATAATTTTAGTGAAATTTAGTACAATTATTCATTAAATCATTATAAAAATTTAGATACAATTTATTTGTTTTTTTTTAAAATAAGAAATTAATTTTTTTTATTTATATTACCTTTTTATTTTAATATCTATAAGCGACAAAAAATATTTAAGATAAAAAAA